CTTGATGTTTGATATATTCAAGACAAAAACCAAGAAATCAACCATTCATTCAAAGAGAGATATTCAAGCTTCAAAACAGCAGGGACCTGATAGATTGCATTATTGCTTCATGTACCAGCTGTTACTTTGACTATTTGTAATTGTGCGTATATTGTAGGAATTGTTTCGCTTGTGATAGAAACGTTTCAATCTTAGGTGAATCATTGTAAGAACTTAGTTGTGAGTAACTTAGTGTCTTACGTCAAAGTCTATATTAATCATTTAGGGTTAGTATAGTGGGCAGTGTTGTATCTGCTTAGGCTCGTTTAAGTAATAGGTAGTATTGCTTAGTGTGGAGATTAGCAGGTTAATCTCATGTTGTAAACAGGGTTTTACTTTTGCTTGTGAAGTTTAGTAAAATCGGTTTGATAATCCCTGTGAGACAGGTCGTGGTTTTACTCCCTTGAGCAAGGAGGTTTCCACGTAAAGTTGTGTGTGCAATCTTTACGTTCAGCATTTATTTACTTTTTGTTATTGTAATCGTGTTGAGGACCTGGTCTTATCGTAACTGGTGAACGCATACATTCCAACAGAGATATAGAAGAAGTTTGATGTGCTCATTTTACAAGACACAGATTTGGTATGAAATGATAGAAAGGAAATCAAACTGAGTTAAGAGAACTAATATCACTCCTCCAAGAATTTTGCATTCAATATGCATGCATATTGTAGTCCCCAGATTTAGATCTGCATCAAATATGAAAAACAAATTAACGAATATATACAAAGCTGATCAAGAAAGCAATAAATAAATTCAAAAATAAAAGTACCTCAGGATAAAGCAATATAATGAAAAAACTAACGATCTACTGAAATCTTCTCACAAAGGAGAGTCACAGAATTTTAACATGATTTAATTTATTGGATGTACATAACCAGAGAAAAGTAGTAAGATGAAGCATGATTTATCCTTCATTTCATCTTTAATTAATTGGCTACTCTTTCGTATGCATTTATCATGTACGTACACAAGAAACATCTCCGACAATAGATTTGCAGCTGATCTAAGGTCCTCGCATTGTCTTCTCTTTCTAAATAACTTGATTATATCAAAACCTAAAACCACGCAAAGCTTAACAAAGTATTAAATATTACTCCTAATATCTAAGTTTGATCAAATTACCGGCCAATTCCCAAAAGTAGAATCTGATGGGTAACTTTGAAGTTGAAAACGTGAAATCCCCATAAACATTCCCTTTTTTTTGTCCATGAAACACGTACGTACGGTAGAGATACAAAATACTAGTTCAAGTTGCGCCTGCTTTCTGATACACGAAATTTTTTTAGAAATAAGAAAAGAATTTAAAGAACATAGATAGAAGTAAGAAAAGAATTCAAAGGACACATACAATATATTCCGTTGAGAAATACATTTTTTTTAGAAAAGCTACCAAACTTGATACTCCAGGCCAATGAAGGATATTTAAAAATGTTCCATGTCAGAGGAGAGTGCCAAAAATCACACAAGTAATACTGCAGGGAGGCACAACAAACAACTATTAATATTATATCTTATCAACTAAAAAAGTTCAAAACTTACTTCACGTTGAGCAAATTTGACTTTGAGGAGCTGCCTCTGAAATTCAATACGTAGTAAATAAAATTGAAGGAACTCCTAACTTTACATCATTGAACACAGTCCTAATTTACTCGCTAATAGCAAAAGAGAAACTCTAGAGATTCTTACCAAATAGTTAAGTTAATTCGGACATATCATCGAGCACCTTTGGTTCATCCCTCTTCATACCTTAAAACCTCTCATAGTAAGGAATGAAAAAAAACAGAGAAAAGTTTTTTTAAAAGAAAGGCAGAGAGAAGAACCATCTGAACAAAAAATGTCAAAGACCATGAAATACAACACCACCATAAAGTTATGTTTACAAATATATCTTACTATCGATATCTAGACTCAACAAGACTGGGGCCTAAAGTAAAACTTAAGAGAGGAGCTCTAATATTTTATTTTTTTCATCATATATATTTTTATAGTATAAAATTTACTTTTTTAGCATTTTTAGATGAGACGTCATTAGTTACTGTTCTATAATCGATTTGTTTTAATAATTCTTTTTCAATAGAAAAAAATTTAATTCAAAAATAAATAAAAATCTAAACCATTAATACCAGAATAACTATTATGGATTAAAGAAAATTTAGAGTTAAGACAAATTTTTTTAAAATTTCATCATCTAGTGATCTTAATTTACTACTAAATAAGAAATCATAAAAAAAATTCATATACTTCAATTGGTTCAAATCTATTTTGAAGTGAAAATATAGCTTGATCTACACTATATATTCAACTCATATGTAATTTGCTGAGTAGAAATCATTATAAGTAATTTTTTTCTAAAAAATAGGGGCATTTCAAAAATATGGGGCCCAAAGCGATGATTTTAGTGGTCTAGAGGTTAAGACGACTCTGGTACAGGGAAAGGGGCACGCGTGAGTTAGTTGTGTTAGTTCTTAAGTTTGACCCACGTGGAAACCCAATGGGCAAGCAGGTGGACTGTGTTAATAGGTCAGCTCAGAAGGAAAATTACGGAAATACCTTTGATCGTCCAAAGGAACCACCACTTATATAGAATGAGATAATTAATTTAGGGACATCAAAGTAAAGAAACATAACTGTATAATTATAATTAGTACAAAAGTTACAATGGAATAGAAACACTTATGTTATTTTCCAAAAATAAATAGAAATTATAAGTCGAAATCTTAGAAGAGGTTTGTGAAATTATTCTGGACAAATAAAATTAGTTACATGAATATGATGGCATTAACTTATAAAAAAATCCAAAAGAGAGTTGTACACGGCTAACATATGACTATTATTAACATATATAAAATCATACATTAATTACAAGGGGTCCTTAACCTCATATATTTATATGGCTAATATTGAACAAACTTTATTCTTCATATATTATATATATATAGAGAGAGAGAGAGAGAAGCCACAATCAATATCTACATCAACAAAGAGATCATTTTCCCTAATGGAAACCATTGTTAAGCTTTCAATCACTCTTCTTCTTCTTCTAACACTTCTCACCAAAGGTAAATGCTTCTGCCTTTCTGATTTTAATAACAATACTTCATTTTTTTTTTAAAATAGTTAATTTACTTGCATATATAATCATGAATTTCTTTTCTTTTCATATAAAACTTGGTCTGTAATATTAAAAGGGGTGCTAGTAGTAGTTTTTTTTTTTTTTCTTTTTTTTTTTGTGGTGTAAGGAAATAGAAGAAAACTTTAGTGATTAATAATAAAAAGATTTATTAGTTTATGAATAAATTGTTTTTGTTGGATCTATAGATTCCAAAATTTCAATATTCATTTGGCTAATAGGTTATGTGTCATCATTTGTTTAGACTATTTCTACTTTATATTTTGTTATTTTTTAACTTGGTCTAAATTGACCCAAACAAAAAAATCAAATCAAGATGAATCGTTTTCCCCAAATAATTTACACTGCAACCAAGGGTGTTGTGATGTAGTGGTTATAAAGTTGTTAAGAATCATCACGTTTCAAGTTTATATTTCAGCGGAAATAAAAATACTAGGTCATGATCCTTCTCATCTGTCTTATCTTTAATGAACGGAGTCTTCTGATAATTGATACTTGTTGTAGGTGAGAGGTCATGACAGATTACATATATCATATGAAATTAATTGAGATGCATGAAAGCTAACCCAGATACCATAATCATGTAAAAGTAATAATTTTACACAATAATATGTTCATTGATTTTGTCAAGATGGAATATCCATGTTTTTTTTAATGTGGATTTCAAGTTTTCTTTTATTCATGGTAAAAAAATCTTTCATTTGAATGTTCATATTCAATTCCCTTTGGCCGGCCAATTGTGTCCGTTTAGATAATTAAATACAAAAACAAGTACTTGTAGACCTCACGCTAAATCATTAACTGACCTATTATTTCTTTAAAATACCAAATATTTTGATACAATTTTTAAACGACTAGTAGTTATTTAGGATAGGAAGAAGGTAACATTATAGTGGGATAATTCAATTTCTTTAGACCTGATTTTTATCGTTAAAATTACCATGATTTAATTGGAATTGATTGCATGCCTCTTTCATTCAACACCTAAAAACTAATAATTTTATATATCTTCTTGATTGAGTGAAGTGCTTCACGGATGTGGAGTACAAACACACAAAACTTTTCGCTTAGATGACACTTGAGATGTATTTTTTATAATAAAAGTGAGTTGTATTAACAAAAAAAAAAACCCTTTCTACCAAGGAGTAAAAAAAGCAAAATAAGTTGGCCTCTCCCCTTCTCCATTCTAAAGTAAAAAATAATGTCATCATTCTAATCTAAAAAGAAAGAAGAGAAGGAACTCGAGCTTTTCTTAAATTCAAGCGATCTTTTCACAAGTGTTTGCCTCCTATTCAATCAGGGATAGAATCGATTTATCGGTGTATTTTATATATTTATATAAATTACTCGATTAACCAACCAATGTATGAAATATATAAATAAGGCATGTAAGTTATTTAACAAAAATAAAAATTGAATGTTTCCTCATTATATCTTTTTGTTTATTTGTGTAGGTGTTTGTAGTTGTGGTTTGAACAATATAACAGTTGGAACAATAAGGAGTGGTGTAGAAATAAAGGGAAAGCCAGAATGGAATGTGGTTGTGGTGAACAATTGTGATTGCCCCATGCAAAAATTGGTATTGTCTTGCAATGATTTTCAGACAACAGAGCCAGTGGATCCAACTATTTTCAAGCCTTTGGGAAACAATGAATGTAGTGTCAACAATGGCAATATCATACCAGGAAAGAATACTGTCAACTTCTCTTATGCTTGGGATCCTCCTTTTTTCCTTAGGCCAACTTTTGTCACTACTTCCTGTTGAAACTATAAATCACTATATAGAGGCAGATTTAACTATAGTTATTCGAGTTTTAATGAGAGGACTCATTACTTCAAATATAATATTTGATCGTGTAGAAACCACTGAACCATTAAAGACCACAATATTGAACAGCTACAAGTCAGAATCTAATTATCGTATAAGCATCAGGTGAAACGTGATACAGTTTAATCAGCCACATCTTATTCTATCAGCAAAGAGCAAATCCACCATGAGTTATCTTTCAGTGATGTGCCTTAGCTTCCGCCTTCTTTTGAGACTTGGCCTTTGCCTAGAAAAGAGCATAGAGGGGAAAAAGTGTCACAATTACTCTGATTTAAAAAAGTAAATCAGCTAGAATTAACTATCATTACAAACATCTCTATAGAAAAAAAGAAAATAATATATTGTAACAGTTGCTACAAGGATAAGTAGCGCAGGAACTTCCAATATAACAATGATATCCTCACAATGCACCACTTTTGTGAATTTCTAGGTGGAATTAACAACATATTATCCATTTACAAATTTGGGAACAACCCTCAGATAAAGCACCCCTCCACTATGAAGGAGGAGGAGGAGATCACCTAACCCAAATAGATCCATCTCATTTAAGGTGACAAGCATTCATTGAAAAATAAACAAAAATCAGAGAGCACCAAGATTAGTCATTCTTAATCTTGTTTAGTCTTGTATAACCGCACGTCCATCTTAGCACCCACATCTCTGCGACACTCATCTTAGCACCCACACCCAAGTAATAAATCGAGGATGAAATGAGAGAGTTGTTTGAGATGGTATAATCATGTTATGTTGACTGCCTGATGCCCCGATCCATAGATATGAAACCATGGTAAGTGAGGATGTTACAAGGGACAAGGTAGACCAAAAATCACTTGAAAGGAAGTTGTCTCGAAGGATCTACAATTTCTTGGCCATGCAAAGTCAACAAACAATGGAAGAAAAAGATCTAATAAAAGATATCTTCTTTTTTTAATTTGATGACAAGGGAAACCTGCAGCCGCTACCCTTTGGGTGTGCACAGGGTAAAACCCTCGCTCCTATACAATAGCTCGCAAACTACACAGGGGAGGAAACCCACACTAGGCAAATCCGGTGCGACAAGCTCCACCCAGAAGGCAAACCCCTTGCTTTCGCTGGCAAGGGGTTTCGAACTTGAGACCTCCAATATGGAAGTCTCAAGCTCAAACCACCACTGGGCCACCCTGAAGGGTTCTAATAAAAGATACCTATTAGTTGAAAATATGATTTAGTTGTGTTATATCTTTTATTTTACGTCCTATTTTTTCTAGGAGACTAGGAGTTACTTAGCCTTTCAGAGATTTAGCACCTATAAGTTGAGAATATATTTTAGCCAAAGTTAGCACTTCCATTTTATATCCTATCTTTTTGGAAGTTGTTTAACCTTTCAGAGATTTATACATCAATAGTAATTACAACAAACATCTCATATGTACTTTTATTTTTACTATTGTTCCTTTTTAAAAAAAGAAACTATTTTTATTGTTATTTCTATTTTATATAATAATGGCCTTAGATGTGTTTAAATAATGGTGAGTGAAGATTTATATACCTAACCCAACTTGTTCGAGACTGAGGCATTGTTCTTATTGCGCAATTAAAGTTTTAAGATATTAAGAACTTGGATTGTATTCATCGAAATTGTGTTTTGGCTAAGTTAGGCATGCCAAAAACAAAGAGATGTGTATTGGTTAAAAATACAAAAAGAGAAGACAAGAGAGTAGAGATTACTCTACTCAGGAAATGGATGATAAAGCGCAGATGACTGCTTCCACCAATCTTGTGTCTGAAAATCTAGAGATCTGATGCTTCAAAACAAGATTGGGGAAAGAAGTGGCTTCCAATGAATATTTTTCTTAGTAATACCAACATTTACTTAAGCAGCCATGTGAGTAGCGTTTCTCTAGTTATTGTCTTGCTGAACCCAGTTAAAGTTTGACAATTTTGGTCACGAGCCTAGCAAGTCGAAGGATTATTCGGGTCATTTTTACTGATCAACTATGTGAGACTTGAGGCATAAGTTGGAGGATCATTTTGGCTAAAATCTTCGCAGCAAAGTCAAAGTAGAAAGACTAGCAATCAGTCCTCAAGTTCATACTTATTCCATCAAGTTCTTTAGAAAAACATTCAGGTTCTACATTTCGATATGTAATTTCACTTTAGAAAGTTAATCTTGTCTTACTAGTCACCTCATGAACAATAATACCTAGCAATTGATCCACTCATCTACTTAGGAATTATTTCAACGGGGCTTGTTATCATATCTGGAACAGAAAACATAACATCATATCCAATAAAAGAAAAGAAAACAGTGCAGGTTGAAACTTCCAGAATAATCGATTAACCAACTATGCCTCAATTCGAGACTGGTCGGGTTGGCTATATGAATCTTACCTATCTGCTCTGCTCCATCCATCAGCCCATTTAATTTTAAAAGAAACTCTTAAATGCCAGGTTTCAATTCAAAGTCTATCAATCAACCAACATTGCAAATCCTAAACTGTCTAGGTTGGCTACTTAAACCAACTATGTCTGTTCTGCATTACACACATGCTCATTTCATTTTACATGAGGCACTAAATGTCTGCTCCGCGAAACTAAAAGTGAATCATAACATTTAAGGAACTTCAAGTAAATGATCTGATGAACTAAACCCCGTGCAAAATCTGTATTCGGTTAACCAGCTATGCTTCAATCTCAGTATAGTCTACACAAATCATCTATATCAATCTCGCTTTATTCAGTCCCATTTCATTTCAGTACCCTACGTAATCACTTATCAAAAATAAAAAAATTCAAAAGGGGAGGAAAATACCCTGAGATACTTGAGCTTAACGCTTCCATAAGCGAGTCCAAAGGTAAATGCTGATGCGCGCGCCACCTGCCGCCAACAACCACAACCAAAATAGTTTAAGATCAAAAAATTCATTTTAATAAAGGAGATTTTTATTCAGATGTACAGTGAAGTAGTCGTAAACGGATCGAAGTGTAGAAGACAAAAGATTACCAGAGCAAGAGTGCTGGTTCCTGAGTATGGTGCTGGAAGAGGCGCCATTTTCGACTGCAAATTGAGGAAAATTGGGATCTGAGAAAGAAGCTTCTAGATCTCCTTTAGAAGCCCTAGAATTCACAAACCCTGAGCTTGTGAGTATCAGTTTTGTGATGACGAGAGAGCTGCATCGAATGTGCGCACACGCCTATTAGGAACCTGAATGGGTCGTTTGGTGCCTAGATTGTCTTTCAACTAACCCGTTTGGACTTTGGCGTGATGGATAAGAAAAAATAATTCCATAAAGTTTTCAAAATCCCTAATTTTTTGTTTGGTCGCAAAACGTGCGATAGTTATTTTTATTAGTGGATGGAATATTAATATTAAGATAATAAAAATGTAAGATAACAAGAATATCATTTCAAACCCTCTTTTATGCATCATTTTAACATATGTGTATGTTCAAATAATTTTTAGTATCATTTATAGTGATATTCACAATCTTTACTATGCGTTATTTTTATGATTATATATTTTTTTCATTAAAAAAATATGCTATATAAACATATTTTTTGTTTATGAATATATTATACGTTGAATTTATTTGACTAGTTCTTATGTTTATTTATATTTTGATTTCTCTTAAAATGTTCACTTCACTATTGAATCACATAGTTTTTTAACTAAATAGTCTTATCATCACTTGAAAATTTGTATTTTTTATATCAATTAAAATGAAGATAATCTTGATGTTTTATAATATACGAGTGATATGTGCTTAAATAAAGTGACATCAACAATAAAATCTTTTTCACTCTAGCAAATCTAAGATTAAAATTTTATTTTTAAACTAAATGAGATAGATGTTTTATATTTAAAAACATACGGCATAATTATGAGAATGCACACACAAAAATATTTAAGTTAAATAAGATGAGAATTTTAATTTTAAGAGTGATTAACTAAAGCTTGTAAAGAAAGTATAACAAACTAAATAAAAGGGAGGGTATTTTTGTAAACACACAACTTATTCTTAGAAATCACGTCATGCATGTTATTTGAATATGACTAACCAAACAGCCTATAAATATAATTTTAGCATAACTAATCTCATCATAACTTATAAGTTATATCAGCATAACTTATTCCATCTCTTCAAACTAAACAACCCCTAAATTTAGCACTAACTTTATCTTTTTTGCTTATTTATTTTGAAATAAGTTGTTGTATAATTAGTATGGGGAAATTATCTTGCCAAATAATGGCATCAAAACTAACAATTTCTAACTAAAATAATAAAAAATAATCAAAATATCAGTGTAATCTCACAAATAAAATTTCACCACCAAATTCAATGTAATATCATAAGTGAAATTAATTTGGAGAGGATAAAGTAAACGCAGATATTACCTCCACCTCGAAGAAATTGAGAGTTTCTTTTTAATAAACCTCCGACTTATGATAAACATATCCAAGCAGTTAGGAAAATGAAATGCATGAATGAGAGTAGTAGCAATAACGAAATAATCTGAAATGAAGAGAAATATATAATGTACAAAGGAAAGAACAATAAGACAACAAAATAATGTGATAATCAAAATACGCACACACCAACCACAGGTGATAATCGAAACTGAATAACAAGGACTACGGGGATAGTGCTAATACCGCGAATAAGAAAGAATGCCCAAATAGGAGCATCAAGTCTATTCCATAAGAAAACGAGAGAATGTTCAACTACCAACTAATCTTCTACCCTAAATTGCGACATCTGAACCCTAGCTCCTATCCAACGTCATGTCCATGGTAAGCTCAAGATGTATCATTTTTTTTAATCACCTTCACCAATACTTCTTTGGTCTACCTTTACCTCTCATGATATCCGTTATTGTCAACCTCTTGCACTTCCTAGCTCGTAGGGGTATCTACATTTCTCCTCTCCACATGCCTAAACCATCTCATTCATACTTTGCTCAACTTGTACACCACGAAAACCACTCAAACCTTGTTGCGAACATCTTCATTCCTAATTTTATATCTCCTATCTCCTAGATTGCACACACATCCACCTAAATATCCTTATCTCTGTAATTACAAGCCAATATTTAAATAAATAATGCAAATGTATGATGTTTTAAATTATTCATAAAAAATAAACTCGTTATATATATATCAATTTTTATTTACTAAAATCAATTTCAAGTCAAATAGTATCAATTCTAAAAAATTTAGAATCAAATCTTAAGAATATTGATTAATTTAATTGATTTGGTTCAGTTTCAATTTGAAATAAAAAATTTAATCAAATCATGAACAGTACCCTTATTAATAGGATACGATAAATATCCAATTTAATAGTCAAAACAAAAATCAAGCTTATTGGAACACTACTTTTATTTTAAAAAGAAAAAAAAAGTTGAATCTATTTTTTTTCTTGAACAGTACCTTTACTAATAGGATACGATAAATATCCAATTTAATAGTCAAAACAAAAATCAAACTTATCGGAACACTACTTTTATTTTAAAAGAATAAAAAAAGTTGAATCTATTTTTTTTCTGAAGTTTTTATTTAAATGAGTCACACAACATAAATTAAAATAGTTTTTGAGATTTAATTAACATTGCAAAACGAGTCACACAGCATAAAAAGAAGAAAAAAAATGTCAGAAGTGGGATTTGAACCCACGCCCTCTTACGAAGACCAGAACTTGAGTCTGGCGCCTTAGACCACTCGGCCATCCTGACTTGTTGTTTTCAAATGCAAAGTTAACGATTATATTGTAACAAAAAAACCATAAAACTTTAGGTATCTATAATAATAGAGTTTTAACTATTTTAATTGAAATCAATAATAACTTAGGCGGTCGTTTGCACTATCATTCTAGAGAAGTTGCCCACCAAAAACAAAATTGTTTACAAAATATAATAAGTTTTTTTATAATAATATTTTCCTAAGCATAATATAATATATTTAAATATTTTTGAAGATATTATAAACGGAAAAAAATAATAATTAAAATATGAGGCACCAACGGTATCTTTTAATAACCATACCTTTATCACACAATCAAGACATAAGATATGAAATCAACTATATTACCTTACCAATATTTATAAATGACAGTTGTTGGGACGAACACAACATTAAAAATTTGTACCGAAAGCTGTCCAAATTGAACACCAGCACTAATTGGTTGTACGAAGAGCAATTTAATTCGTACTGTACAAGTGGGCTCCATTTCATTGTTAATTGAGCTTTATGGTCTTTTCCTATAAACACGTCGACCCACGTGTATCATATTAGCTATATCTACAATTTTACTTTCCTCTTTGCTACTTTGGCTGCCATTTCTCGTGTTGATTTTTTTTCTCAGCCAAAGATGAACAAAGAGTAGTGTAAAACTCTAAAGCCAACAGGAGAAGAGGACTGCACAAATTTTGGAAAATGAGAAAAAAATAAAAAATTATTGAATATGTTGTTGAAAGATATCAAAACCACTTTTTCGAATAAATGAACAAAAAAAGTTACCATTGGATATTGATTTTCAAGAGTAATATACACTTCTTGCAGATCAAGAATTGTACAATGAAACTCATAAATCAAGATTTGTACCATACATATTTATTTATTTATTGGTAAAAAATAATGCATATTTATTTGGTATAGCTTGTCAATCTAATATTTTAATTATTCTATATTTTTTTGCATATTTTCTGTTTTTATTCCTCAACCTCTATGAATAATGATGATGATCAAACCGTCATCGATCCACTCCCCACTTCTACCATCTTTTCCACTTCGTTACTTGAATGCCATAGCCGGTATTTATCTTACCTACTTACAAAGGACAATCTGCCGATAAGAATAGACAACAAGTGACAGACAAAGAAATTAATTTGTCAAAGAGACAAGAGAAACAATTTATTTGGTATTAACAAACGGTGCTATATATCTGTCATGTCCTGACAGATTTAATTAATTCTTGAGATGATAATTTTATTTATATTATGAGCTTATTGATATGAATAACTTGATCTCGAATACAAATTATTTTGAAGTGATCGATCAACCATTAAGAACTAGGGTGGATCGTTATGTTGGTTATGAAAGATTTTAGTCACTTTAATGTTTTAGATTTACTGGTAAAGCGATGTAGCTTCATGAAGTGTGTTCATGTGTTATATTTCAGAATAGATCAGAGAATGTGTATAAATATAATTTTTTATGTAGCTTATAACGATTCTATTGTATGATTTCCTGCACAGATTGACAATGTACTTTTACGATGACCTTTTCTCAAGGTAAATGCTAAGGATCATATTGCAACTTAACCATTGTTCTTTTGGTCCTACAAGTGTTGTCTTTTTCCGATTCTATATTAAATTTGTAGTCTTGAAAGTTGCTCAGGGGATATGAGAAGCTATATTTGCCCCGACTCTTCAAAAATATCGACGGGTGCATGTCGGATAGTGTCTGACACGAGTGCGACAGCAACATTTTTGGATAGTCCGAGCAACTTAGATGAGAAGATATATAATGGTTTCTTCCATGTGTTAGTCATTTCATTTATCAGGTTATAGTTGCCAACTTGAGTTTCTTGGTTTTCTCTCTTCCTTAACCTCACACAACTAGACTAGATAATCACATGAATTGTCACTATACACTGCTGCAATTTTCACGCTCTGGGTTCTAATTGATTTTGGCCGGATTCTCCTTTAGTGGCAGAAGAGGATTAAACTAGCTTAAAATGTTTTAGATGTTATTTTATTAATTTTATCCAACTTGGATAAAATTGGTAATAAAGAGTGTTGCAATTTTTCTATTGATTGAATTGTAGCAACATATACAAATTAAAGATATCCTAAGTATCCTGACTATAAGTTGAGAAAGTAAACACAAATTTAAAAGAAAATCAAATTATTTGTGAAGTGTTTTACACAAATAATTGTGAATAACTTATGTCTAGCAGGTGAACAATAATTTCTTCAACTAATGAACTAAGCCTATGAACTGACGCATCCTGTTCAACCTTTCCAACAAAGCTATCAGCTGTCTCGTAATTCTCAAAAAAGACTCTTAAGACTCCAACTTTCATAATTAACAATTCAATCTCTTTATGTATTGTCTGCAATGATCCTCCGCAAGATGATGCTCAACATGCATAAATACATAATCCACATGTTTCAACAAAGATAAATGATTTGAACCACCTCTAACTTATAAGCCATGTTCATAAAGTCTTCATTTCCCTTTTCTCCTCT